GTGCGCTCGATTGCAGAGGTCACAAAAGCAGTCGCCGGCGGAGACCTTACCAAGCAAGTCAAGATCGTCGCGCATGGCGAGATCCTCGACCTCAAGGACACTGTCAATGGAATGACCGCGTCCTTGAGCCAGTTCGCTGCGGAGGTGACGCGAGTCGCCCGCGAAGTCGGCACGGAAGGCAAGCTCGGCGGTCAAGCTGAAGTCGAGGGCGTCAAAGGGACTTGGAAAGACTTGACCGACAATGTCAACGTCATGGCTAACAATGTCCGTACTATTCCGTTCTCTCAGCATCGTATACTGACCTCGCCGTCCTTCAGCTAACGTTACAAGTGCGGACGATTTCCCACGCGACGGTGTGTAGTTATTATTCTCTCTGTCAGTTCGTTTCTGATCCGGGAGTAGAACGCTGTCGCGAAGGGCGATCTGACGCGTAAGATTGCGGGCTTGTCCGTGTCCGGCGAGATGCTGAGCCTCGTGAACACCATCAACGACATGATTGATCAATTGGCCATCTTCGCCAGCGAAGTCAAGAAGGTCGCGTTGGAGGTCGGGACCAAGGGAAACATGGGCGTACAAGCGGAAGTCGGCAACGTGCAGGGCATATGGTTAGAGATCACGTATGCCCTCTCTTTTCTTTCTAATGTTCTTACGAGCTGACCCTTCTCTTCCAGCGTTTCCGTCAACACCATGGCCAGCAGTTTGACCACGCAAGTACGAGGTTTCGCCCAGATCTCCAAGGCGGCGTCCGACGGCGACTTCACTTCGTTCATTACGGTCGAAGCAAGTGGCGAGATGGACGAGCTCAAGTCCCGGATCAATCAAATGTTATACGACTTGCGCGACAGCATCCAGAAGAACACCGCCGCGCGAGAGGCTGCAGAGCTGGCGAATAGAAGTAAGAGCGAATTCTTGGCGAATATGAGTCACGAAATTCGGTGCGTCTTTTTTCCTGCTTTCGGTTTTGACTTGGGTTGAGCCGGTTCGAATCAGGACACCAATGAACGGCATCATTGGCATGACGGAACTGACATTAGACAGCGACCTGAACCGCAGCCAGCGAGAAAGCTTGCTCCTCGTACACAGCTTAGCCCGCAGCTTACTGTTGATCATCGACGATATCTTGGACATCTCGAAGAGTACGTTCTGTACCACTTGACGCCCGAGCTTCTGCTGACTTGTATTCCGTAGTCGAGGCCGGCCGAATGACCATGGAAGCGGTCTCCTATTCCATGCGGCAAACCATATTCGACATCCTAAAGACACTCGTCGGCCGCGCCACTCAGAAAGGACTTGATCTGATATTGGATGTCGCGCCAGAGATTCCAGACGCCCTCATTGGAGATTCCCTCCGACTGCGGCAGGTCATCACCAATCTCGTCGGCAACGCGATCAAGTTCACTCGCGTCGGCTACATCTCGCTCAGCATCCACTTTGTTTCCTTGGACCCGGACGCCGTCACGCTGCAGTTCTGCGTCATGGACACCGGCATCGGGATCGCGCAAGACAAGCTGAATCTCATCTTCGACACGTTCTGTCAAGCGGACGGATCGACGACGCGAGTGCGTATTCTTTTCACCACCTCGCGCCCCGCTAACACACGGCTGTTTAGGAATACGGCGGGACGGGTCTAGGGTTATCAATCTCGAAGCGTCTGACGTCCCTCATGCAGGGCGACATCTGGGTGGAGAGCGAGCTCGGCAAGGGGAGCAAGTTCTACTTCACCATCACCTCCCAGATCAATCAGCAGCAGTCGCTCGACGCGACGCTCCTGAAACTCTCCCCCTTCACAAAGCGGACAATACTCTTCGTGGACACCTTGCACGACGACACCGGAGTCGCAGAGCGGGTAACCGAGCTGGGGTTGGTACCTGTCGTTGTGCACGACGTCAGCGAGGTCTCCGACAAGGAAAAGTGCCCGCACATCGACACGATCATTGTCGATTCCTTGCCCATCGTAAGTTCCGTAGTCTTGAAGCCACTCTCTATCCTCACCGCCCATTTCGTAGACGGAGATCATGCGCGAGCATGAGCATCTACGATACATCCCCATCGCCCTCCTCGCCCCCACGCTGCCGCGTCTGAACAGTAAGTCTTCGATGTCCGTCATACGATCGCGGGCTGACGTGCGCAGTGAAATGGTGTTTGGAGAACGGGATCAGCGCGCACAACACGACGCCAATAACGGCGCTCGATCTCTCCTCCGTGCTGCTCTCCGCACTGGAAAACAACACGGTGAACCCCGCATCAGCCGCGACGGACGTCACATACGACATCCTCCTCGCCGAAGACAACCTCGTTAACCAGAAGCTCGCGCTCAAGATTCTGGAGAAGTACGGGCACTCGATTGAGCTCGCGGAGAACGGAAGCCTCGCGCTGCAGGCGTTTATGGACCGTGCGCTGCAGAACAAGCCCTTCGACGTTATCCTGGTGTGTCCTTCCCTCGTTTCGGTACGTATGTGCTCATGTCTTGTAGATGGACGTCTCGATGCCGCTAATGGGCGGGATGGAGGCGACACAGCGGATACGGGCGTACGAGATGCAGTACGACCTGTCGCCGACACCGATTATTGCGTTGACGGCGCACGCTAGTACGTATCTTCTCGTTCTCGAGTTTCCCTTGCTCATCTGGTTTCTTACAGTGATTGGCGACCGGGAACGGTGCCTCCAGGCGGGCATGGTACGTTTCCTTTCTTCCCTCCATCTTCAGCTCACTGACCGTATCTTCGACTTGCAGGATGATCACATCACCAGTGCGTTCGCCGCCTGCTCAGTATGATTGAGTCCCTGACGCCTTTACAGAGCCGCTGCGGCGGGTAGACCTGCTGAACGCGATCAGCCGACTGACGACTGAGGCCGGCGGCGTCTCGCGCCCGCTGCTGCGGAAACACCCGCAGATAACATATCCGGACTCGCCATAGCATCGGCCCCGTTCTCTCTGCTCGTCTCCGTTCCTCGCCTAGTCTACACCATACCCTACCGCCCGCCCGCTATACCGGATGTATCGCCATCATCATCTCATCTCATCTTGCTGTCCGCATATTCTGTACTACTGCACATCATGTTCTCTGCTCCTACTCTATTGTATGTATCTATACACTGTACTCTTACACGGACCGGTTCTCGTTTTTTCTGCACTTGTTTAATCTGCACTTCAATCACGCTTGTATCGTGGTAGTACTTTTGAGCGTCCATCGTAATTATAATCTGTTGCACTCGTGTGATGGTCTGAGGGCTGGAATAGAATCCAGCTTTGGCACACGAATTGCACTGTAGTTTCTTTCTTTCCATAACAGGATGACTGAGCATGTCCAACTGGAGGGAGGAAATATTGATAACAGGATGACTGAGCCCAACGTTGTCTCCGTGGTCTAGTGGTAAGGTACTACCCTGTTGTCAGCCAGAAAGTCATCAGTTGGGCGGTGATACGAGTCGGAGACTTGCGGACGAATTTTTTAGGAGCTTTTTGTTGTTCGCCCGAATTTGTAATTGCCATACTTTCGCGTCCGGTGTTGATGGAGCAAGTTTTTCCTTAGTAAAAACGGAGGCAAGGCATATGCATGGGCAGTCATTATAATAACTTTAGGGAGTGGTATTACAAAGTATCCAAATAACCGCAGAGAAAGCGGGGAGAGGAGCATTCGAGTCGGAGGTTAGTAAGGTCGACGCCCACTGGGATGATCAAGATCGCAGACGACGGGATAACAGGCGTGCCGAAGTCGCGGCAGGAAGAAAGGGAGCGGTCCCGCGTGTCATGCATGCTACGGCGCGTCCCACGTATCACACCTGGATCGCGCGAAGCAAGGACCGCCGGGGTCTTGAGAACGACGGCACGACTGCCACAGCTGCCCACGAGCGTCATCCATCCGCTCGGGCGTCCGCTCCTGACGTGTAATGCGCGGCCGTCCCAAACCGCCGCGATGAGGGCCCGCAAGCTGCCGCACAATGTAGCAGTCCCCGTTGCGACGGAAGGCTATCCCGCTCTTGGGAGGTGTGCCTGGGCGGAGGACGCGGACTCGCCCAACCAATCCACAAATCGTCTCAGAAGTAAGAGAGGGAAGTGCGGCGCCGCCTTCTTCAGTACAAGGGTGCGGGGGTCTTTGGACACCGTTGAGAGAGCGCGAAACATCCGCGGGGGAGTTTGTGATAGAACAAACGGCATTGACAAGTCAAGGGAAAATGGAAGGGCGAAAATTCAGTGGAAAAACATCTAGGAATCAAATGCAAAGACGCGCCGCCGAATCCGTTGCTCGCAATGTCGCAGTCCCTCGCCCAACTTGGTCCCCACGCCGGGCGAGTGCCAGTGGCAACCCTGCGAAGGTCACGATTGGTTAAGAGCAGCAGAATGGGCGCGGCGTAGGACTTCGATCTACGGGGCCGTAATCATCGACGGGAGGATTGTGTCACTGGAGGGTGGGCATTCTCTTCGTGTACACAGGCAGTGGATGAATTATTCGGCTTGGGAGTTATTCGAGGAAGATTTGGGAGATTGGCGGAGACACCGTTCGTCTTCGTCTTCTCCCTGAGTTCATTTGCACCCGAGCCATCGTCCAGCAGGCAGAAAGAAAGCGGTTCGGGCCGGATCGGCCGAACCGAACCAAACTTACGATTTGCTTCTCGCAGCCATGACATCTAGCAAGTATTCTACGGCATCACCACTTCAAATTCACCTCTGACTCATGTGCTGCTGGACATCCCTCGACGGACAACCTTGGGACAACCTCAACAAAATCCGTTTGGGCGGCAGCGCTAGCCTTACGCGTGGGTTTCGACCCTGGGACCGTCACACTGGCCCACCATAGCATCTGCAATTTAGCCTCGATCGCGGGGCCTCAGCTGGGACATCGAATGCTCTCACAAAAAATACCAAGTATTCACGACCATTTGCTTGCTCTTTCCTACTTGCGCATCATTCGACGAATTCGCCTCGTCGGGCAGGCGCTTCTTGGGCGCCTGCTATTTGGTTACTTCTCGACTTGGAGAACCAGTTCGTACAGTATGTTCGCTCTGTGGTCTAATGGTAGGACATCGCCTCCTTATGAAATGATTGTAAGGCGATCAGGCGGAGATTGCGAGTTCGATTCTCGTCGGAGCCATAGAGGTAGAATTTGTTGTTTTGGCCGTGCTTTCTCAAGCCTTCCTTCCCTAACCACTGACTATCGACCGCTTGTTTGAATCTCCCAGAATATTTAGAGGGCTTTATCGACAACCTTATGTGTCAGCGAGGAAAGGGAATACGAGCATGCTGAAACGTTACATGCGGAAACACCTTGAAGCTGTCAGCCACACGGTATTGGTATTCGCTCCGTGGTCTAATGGTACGATACCGTCATTTTCTAGAGTCATCTCAAGGAGATCAGGCGGGGATTGCGAGTTCGATTCTCGTCGGAGCCATCGTCATCGAAGGCTAGAGTTTTTTTGGCCGTGCGCTCTCAAGCCTTTCTTCGCTGACCACTGACTATCTACCGCAAAAAAAATGGTACCGGTTGTTTGAATCTCCCAGAATATTTAGAGGGCGTTATCGACAACCTTAGGTAACAGCGAGGAAAGAGATTGGAATACCGGCATGCTGAAACGTTGACAGGCGGAAACAAAGACATTGTCTCCTCGCGATGCTGTCCGATTTTTACAGAACGAACACGAGCAGTATTCTCCGCCAAATTTATTCAATCCGAAGAAACCAGTTGGAACAGTCACTGCTAACGGGCAATTCCCAAATTACAATTTTCCATTTGGCGCTTTGACGCTATATACTGACTAGCCGCTCGCCGGAACGCCTCTTGGGCGCAGGGAGGTTAAGGTCGTTGATACCATAAAGGCTCTCAGGCACAAACCCCTCCGGAATTCGCTCCGGACGCCACGCCCACGCCTCCCGCAACTCGGGCGCCAGCTTCGATTCCAGGGCATCGACGATGTACTTGCCCGCACATGGCAGATTCTTGTATGTATGCATGAAGCCGCCTGTAGTGAGGAAGAGCGACGCCGGCAACGACGGATGCGGGCCGATGATCCAGCCGCCATCGAACGACTGTCTGCGGTGTCTGTTAGCACGCGATGCGGTGGATGAGCGAACAGCAACGTATCCCAGCAGAGCTGAACGCATGGGAGATGAGCATCGACATACTGGGCTGAACGACAAATTACAACAACCTGTCCCCGAGTTCTGAGGTTCACTTCACTTCCTGCTACCTTTGTTTCACATATATGCAAGCGCAGAAGGAAGACAGAACACCCGGTAGCCCATGGAGTACACATGCTTTATCTCAATGCGAATGAATATCCAAAAAGCTACGCAAGAAGACCCCGTTCGATTCGGGGCCGGGTGATGTTGCACTTTGACTGTACAGCTTTTTATTATTATTTCCTTTTATCTCAGCCTTGCACGATCCCCCCTTTTCTTGCCCTCGTTCACTCCGTTTACGAGAACCCCGCTCAACTGAGGTCCTCATAACCTGAGAGTTAGTTTTAGTCAAGAACGGGGCACCATTCATAACGACTGCCATGTTGAACTTTTTTTTCTCTCGCATATATTCCAGTGAAAACATAAGACAGAGACACCTAGTAGTATACCGAATGCACCTGCTTTATCTACAGTTCATCTTCGCGCATGCAGGCAGGAAGACCCCGTTCAATTCGGGATCGATTCGCCATGGCAAGAATTTCTTTTATCAACCGTTCTTTTTCATTGCGGTCTTTCATTTTCCTCGTCAGATACCAGCCTCGGGCTCCAAAATCTTCCTCGGATGTGCGCGGATCGTGTCTTATAACCCGCCGCCGCCCATTCAGTTGCCAGTCGCCTCAACAAGGAAAAGTGCAAGAACACCCGGTAGTACATGGTGTGTCTTACATGCGGGCAACTGGTACGGCTCGTGACATCCAACTGAGGCTGAGCGACGAGTGCGAAATTTTTGGGGACCGGCCGTCGATTCCCTCCCATCAAATCACTTTCTCGGGAACGAGACGAGTATTCAGACACCGGATGAATGGTAGAGGGATCGCGGAGAAACTGGAAACTATTTACCTCCCACCGACACTCCGAATGATGAACTACTATTTGCAAATATATGGCCTCGGAAATGAATCAATGGAAGGATTGGATACGGTGGGTTAGGGACAAAGACAGCAAGTAGATAACAGAACCGAACGAAGCTCGAATGGCAATGCACTACACAGCTTCTTGAAGCGACTAATCTGAGAAAATGTAACAACAGCTCGAATTCAGGAGGAACTACGAACATTATTCTTGATGGACAGAAGGTGAAGCGACATTCGAAAGTATGGCTCGGACTGGCTGCCATGCCTAGTACGTCGCACCGGGGCTTGTGTCGATTTTTGGGAGGTTCGGGAACAGGTCGGAAAGGAATAGGGCGACAGCGGTTTGGTCAGTAATAATCGTCGCCGCGCCAACATTCAGCCAGACAAGAGAAGCCTGGGATATTATGGTGTTCGGGTCGTTGAGTGGCGGGACTGTGGAGGCATCAAAGGTAACACTGAGCTTCTTTAAGTCTTTGCAGTGTTGGGCAAATCCTCGGAGGCCATGAAGTGTCATACGGGATGGATGACACAGCGATGTCGCTGCCTCTAAATGAAGGGATTGAAGATTCGGCCACGAACGAGCCATATCCCAAGCGGTGGAGTCGTCGATATCACATCCAATGACCGGTGTAAGGGAAAGGTCGACGAGATTTCCGAAACAGAAGAGCGTTGCAACTTGCAAGCTCGTGGCCGGTGATCACGTAGTCGGACATCGTGGCCACCGGTGGTGCATCCACCATTTCGCCGTCTAGCTTGACGTGAAGGTTTTTCAGAGTGGTGTGTGACAGGTGACCTGCCAAAGCCCTGTACAAGGTGGATTTCGTGACCATGGATTTACCCGAGTGATAGAAATTGGACACGCTCCATTCCGAGAGCAGACCGAGGAACTCGATGATGAATTCGAATTGGATTGATGGAGCGAAAGTGATCGTACGCAGGGCAGGAAACGGATGGTGCTGTCGGGTATCGTTGAGGGAAAGGCGAGCGGAGTAGAGGTCCTACACATCGCCACTGCCCAGGCGTAGCATCCTCAGCGAAGGAAGCTGCGAAAGATGGTCGAAGGCAGCTCGATCGAGTTTCGGCACGGAAAGATCCTCAATTTGCTCCAGCTCCGATATGGGACGCACAAGGGAGGAATGCGGTACGTCTTCGACAATTATAGAAAGTTTTGTGAGGGTCGCTTATCGAAGCGCCAGAGTGGGGAACAGAGATATGCTGGATGCGCCGGAAGTAATGGTAACGTCCGTAATCTTGGGGCCAAGGAAGAGGCGAATGTATGGAAAGATGGCGTCCTCATCCGCGAACCACGAGATGATACGGAGATTGGGGCATAAATAGTCGCGAGGAAGTCCGGAGCTAATTGCCTCGAATATATCCACAGGTAATTTGTCTGCGTCCCGGGTCCACATCCATAGCCTCAATGTCCGAATGCGAAGTGCATACATCAAGGGCACCTCCCAGTCCGCTGGTTCAACTGGACCGGTTAAGCGCTATTCAAATCGAGGTGAATCACTGCCGCACGCCCGACAACTTGGATGACTCACCAAGTTATCTGAAAAACCGGGGTGTCGCTTTTCGGTCCATAAGTGCGGGGGAAGGGTTCTCAATAAATTATCGAGTGTATGTTGCTCGCTCCACAAGAGATTCAGAGCTGGATCCTGGAAAGCCTTACAAGTTCTCGCGAGAGTAGCAAAATCCTTGCCCTCGTTACCTTGCCGAGGAGTCCGAAGTTCCGCGAAGATGAGGTCAACTATCTCGGGAATGCGGAGACTACGATGCATTGGGCATCCAAAGGCGAGGCTGCAGGCTGAGGAAGTGGCTGTCTGTCTCGCACCGTGACTTAGACGTTCGGTAGCAATCCCGTCCATCATGATGATCAGCCACGCGAGTTTCGGCTAAAAATGATGGACGGGAAGAGGAAGACCAAAGGAAGACAGTCACCCGGAGCAAACATGGTATAATTGCGGACCAAAAGGGACCAAACTAGGACCTCTGATAATACCCACCGAGGCCAGATCCCGGTTCAGACAAATGGCTAAATTGGGGTCCAATCCTAGGTCCGGTTCGGACAAAAATGAGCTGTCAGACCGCGCCAGGCTGGTTCCGGTTCGGACAAAATTTGGCCGTTGGAGGCGGCAATCTTTTTGTCTCAAAAATTCACAAATTCGTTATTTCAACGGGAAAACACCGAATCTGGCACGAAAGAGTGCGTCAATCAGCCCGCGAGAAATTTTTGGGATTTTTGGCGTAGTGGGAGCCGGAAAATTACCTGTTTTGGAAGGTTACGGCATGCTCGGCTACGTCCAGTTCGAACAAAAATTGGGATCTGCCAAAAATTGGTTGGGACAAAAATTGGTTGGGACAAAAATTGGCCGTTTGAGGATAGTCGGGATCTAGCCTCCAAAGGGGTAATCAGAGGTCCTACCAAACTTCGTGACAAGTTTTTGTCCCAATTTGGAAATTGCTACTGACACCCCGGTTTTTATCGAGATATAATGTTATCATGTGAATGCCTATGTCGGCCTCAATGGCTGTCCAGGAGCATGCACTGGGGGCAGTGACCAGTATGACGGTCGTTTCTGGACAAAACCCTCGTGGCCATGAGTGGCCATCCGTGACCATGCGTGGCCATACATGGCAACAAGTGTGGGACCCATGGCCATCTATGCTCCCATTTCGTGTCCTTTAAATGGCCACGCATACCAGGTTCGAGCACTTGTTTGGACCCTGGACCTTACCATCAATGGCACATGTATGCCGTTACTTGTTTATTTTGCATCCCGTTTGGGCCTGTCAATCAGTCCCAATTGGGCCTGCTATAATTCCCCTAAATGTTGCTTCTTTTAGTTTCAGCACTGTTTTCGGCAACTATGCAGTTGCAGTGCAGCCACTTGTCTTTCTCCTTAACACCATGTCGCACCTTCCTCCTAGGGGTGGATGTGCTACCTGCAAGTCTTTTGGTCGCTTTTACTGTACGATAGCCGGCCAGGTGTGTTCTCTGCCAGTGCTATGTTGTAAACTTCTTTGCAATGGAAAAGGGGCTGGTATGTGTCAGATGGCTGTGACAATTTCTGCCAAAGAGATTATGCATACCTGGGGCACCCCAAGTTGAGCTAGGAAGTGCAACGGCTGGGGGGGGGAGGTCCAGATTCGGGAACAGAGCTGGTAAAGGACGTGAGCATTTTGAGTGAGAGACATTTCAGTTTAGCCGTACCAGGTTGTTGGTACGCAGAAGACTGCATATTCGTGTTCCAATAATGACTATGGAGGATGAGAAGGGGGTGTTCATGCCGTCAGCTGACAGAGACCAAGGCTTGGGCAGGGGTCAGAGGTGGGCGGTGGGGTCGGGTAGAAGAGCA